GAGCTTAGCATTCAGCAGAAAATTAGTCATCATAATATTTACCACTTCGTGAAATCTATCATGCAAAATCAATATACTTCTAAAGAACAATTTCAATTGATAGTTTAGTTATCTATATGATTCATTATATATAATCAGTGAAAGTTCTTGCTGTCTCTCTATTCGAACTTCATAACGACATTAATTATTACAAAAGTTTTATCGATCTGTATCAACCAGTTTCGTTAAAATGAGTTTGAAACATCGTTTAACTATTCATTATCTAGAAAGCAGCTTCCGAGAAAATCAAAGTTGTTTGTGCGAAGCTCTCGAGGATAGAGTGTGTGGATGGGTTTATTATATGTTCATCCACAGCACACATCCATATCCTTATTTTTCATAATGTTCAATTTACCATTTTTATATTCAGGATTATGATATAGTTAAATTTATTATTGCAAGTATGCAAACCTATTATCCAGGTTTATTAGGTATATTTGTAGAAAATTCTTTTGATTTATATATACATGTATATTTATTGTAGCCTATCTTCTTATGTTCAAAATGCCATTTCTTTTATCAGGTAATAATTTTTTCAGTATTAATTGCAAAGAAAAATTTGTTTTCGCGTAGCGGCTTGGAGGTTAATTCGTACTTGGATGTCGAGTGAAGCTGATCGATTTATCAAATTTACTGATACTAAAACAATCACAGATTATATTTCACTAGATCAATTATCAAAACGAATGGGTGGTACTGCTGATGAAAGCGAATGATCTCATGTTAATAACTTTCTTTTTTTTTTCTGTATTGAACATCACAAAATATTCATTATTTCTTTTATATATATATATATTTTACCAAAACTAAAAAACGAAAATACTTTGTTTTTAGTGCAGACTATGGATTTATAAACTCACTGATTTTTAGTACCGGTCTCCATCTTCGATTAAAGATTTTTTTTTATTGGCTTTAATCTACATTTCATATATGAGATTTTGTTGTTAAAATCAGGTGACTGGTTTTGCGGAACTCACATAGTTTTTTAAAGAAAATTGTGATTGTATGAGTATTCTATTTCACCAGAAATATATGAGTTCTACATTTGAGCCCTAAAAGAGTTGCGCTAACAAGCTTTTTTTGGTGTATGGCTCTTCGAATATTTTTTGTAAAAACTTGCATGAATACAGAAAAGTTATTGTGAAATTCCTATTCTGGAAATGAATATTGGGCTCAGTTAAGAAGTTTTTCGAGAATGAAAGAGTGTGGGTGTGGATGAAGACACATTTCAGTCACACACACATACATGCTGATGGATTTAATGAATAACTATTTGAAGTCTGTCTTATGCACTAGCAGAGATATGTTAGGAATAGTAAAGGCTATCATGTCTATATATCTGTGCTGCAAAAAACCGGATTGAATAATATATTCTTGCATAAACCTTCTTTAAAGGTTTATGAAAGAGCATTTCATTTTTATATATCCCTATAAATTCTTATAAGTTTTGTATGACATTCAAATACACCTTGATGTACACATCCAAAGTGTATATGTAACAGTTAAAGTTATCATATTATATTTTTTGAATAAAAACAAATCTTACGAAAACAAGAAGAATAATCACTTTGCTTATGAAACGATTCTTTTTTGCTTATAAACTCTATCTTAATTTAACAGTGCATTAGTAACTTTAGCTTCATTGACGAAGTAATTCTTTTTTTCTATGGATTTATTTTATGTATTCAATTGAATTTAAGAATAACTTGAAAGATTAAAACAAGTCTAAAGAAGAAAAGAAAATTACTCCATAAAGTTGATTATCAACAAACGAGTATATGTAACTATAGAACATTGATTCTTTTTATTTTCTTTGACTTTTCAATGATCGAATATCATTTAAAAAATGAATGATGTGTTACTCGTTTGCCGATAGCTCACTGATCCGAGTACTGGTCTGGATAGCCAGTAATCATATCATGGATTCAATTCATAAGCGAAGCATGCCATTTATTTTTCTCAATGATATTAATTATCGAAAGTCAACGGAAGTAAAAATCTGTATTGTAAAGTATCATTGCTAATATGACAAGTGAGAACCTATCCACTTCCTTATTTAACCGTTATCATAGTGTTTATCTTTCACTAATGTCAACAATAACCAATGATGAACAGCCTTTGTTGGCTGCATGTTCATCCCATTATGATAGAGATATCGATCTTTCAAAGAGGAGAAACTAAAATTTGCGAGAGAATGAGAACACTATGATTAAATTGAAGATCTACGAAGAAGATAATACGTATGATAATGAAAAATTGGATTTACTTTTGGATATTTGGCATATAAAAAATATTCCTTAGTTGTTTTGCTCTGAAGAATATCAAAGAAACACATGAAAAATGAGTTTTGAATCATTGGCTAACGAATTATTACTTCACTTGTTTGAATCTATCCACGTCGATTATCTTATTCATGCATTTCATGGTCTTAATGATCAAATTTAATTCACTTCTTTTTCGTCATTTTGCCACTTATGGTATTGATTTTCGATCGATGCATTCTAATGATTTTGTCATAATCTGTAGAGAATATCTTCCAACTTCGATCAATAAACTACCTCCATTGTATTTATCAGAGAACATCGGTTATTGTCGATCACTTAATCGATTATATTCTTATGGTTTCACACTTGATCAATTTGTTCAATTAAAATCACTTTCATTAAGTTGTTGTTCCAAAAAAAAATATAATAGACAAACTCATATTAGCATTACCTCATTTACTCAATCTTACTCATTTAAAAATCAACTCTTGTTCGGCGTTTATCATGTATAAATTCATTCTTGAATATTTATTTGATTCTGAAGTATGTTTTCGACTATTATCATCATCATGATGAAATGGAATTATGGTTTGAACATATTGTTCTTTAATTGCAGTTGGCGAATCTCGAACAACTGGATGCCTAGATGAACTAGTAGTCAGTGGTGCATCAATATTTGACGTATTCTATGGTGTATTATCCAAAAGATGTGCTATACAATTATGAGCATCAACACAAGATTGTTTATTGATATCATTATCATCATATTTATGTATAAATGGTCGAAGAGTCTCTGATGCAAATATCGAATTGATCATTATCAGTTAAATCATCCAGCATTGTTTTTGTCGATCGTACGAAAATAAGTTCAATATCTATTAGAATATTATCATTATTAACAATTCCATTTTCTTATACGAATTGTGATAAACATTTTTAGCTAAATCTCGTTCCAAGCTTTGATTATCTTGTGCTATTATAATTGATAAGCGTCTCAATTGTTTATGTCTTTGTAAGAATTGAGCTTTTTTTATGACGATGATGTTGCATAATAACAGGTAACAACATTAGAACACTTAATGCATACATCATGGGTACAAATAATGGATTATATGATGAAAGAAAATCTTGTGATAGATTAGATTTCGTTTGATCATCTTTTAATACATGTAAGTCTTTACATTGAATATCAAGATCATTAAATTGAAGAATAAAATGGGGTGTGGATGTGGGTGTCAGTGTACTTTAACTAGATATCCACACTCACCATAGTCCCTATACAAACAGATCAGCCTATTCGTCTGAATTGTATCGTATTATTGTATACATCATCAGCGTGCGATATCTTATATTCTGACTTAAATGTAAATTTTTAATTTAGTTTTTTATGAATAAAGATTATCACAAAAACAATTTAAACAGCAAAGTCATTTTAAATATTTTCTCTACTGACAAAATTCCACTTTTTATGTTGATTTTGATTCGGTTTAAAAACCATATCTTCACTCAAGGAGATAAACATGTCACTTTTTATACTGATTTAATCTTTAAAAAAGTATGCATAATTTGGTATTTAGTTTGTTCGGTACATGCAGATTTTTGGCATCAAAATTTTTTATGTTTAAAAATGGTTAATATTTTTTTCACAGAAACTGAGAAAATTTAATGCTGTTCAAACACGCGCATTTTATACATAATAGGTTTCACTTTTGGATGTAGGTATGGGTGTCGGTGTGTATATGATAAGAAAATTTACACCCACATCCTATTTACATCATGCATCAATGTGCCATTCTCATAAGACACAGAATGAAAAAAAAAAGGGAAGGTCACCTTTTGTTTCTTTTCTTCTTTATCTAATTTAAGAAAGGTTGTTGCCTGCCACGCGTTCTTACCTTATCGAAACATATAACGACTACCTCCCCAGGTAAAGTGCAAAAATGCAACATTCGAACAATGTTATTTCATTTTTATACATGGTTAAATAGGGCTCGCTGAACTGAGTAAGAATATATGGTTTTTCATATTTTTTGTTCAAGATTTTTGATTAAAAAAATACAAGTTTTTTCGATAGTATTGAATAGTTCATTCTTTCCAAACAAACGACACATTTTATAATTTTTATGTACCATTTGAATCGTTAGACATGGTGCTTCAATACTATAGCTTTGTTTTTTCAAAATATTGCTTTTTTGGAGCAAATCATCGTTCAACTCTGGTCCAAGACCTCAATTTGCCAGTAGTATGAGGTTTTCTTCGCTGAAGTCCTATCATTTTTCGACAAACATGGTAGATTCGCTATTAGAATGAAAATCTAAGCCAATCAGAATAATCTCCTATCATTTCTGATAACTTCGATTTTTGGGCCCTAGGGAAAATGCCTAGATTTTCATCAAAAATGGATATCAAGCCAACACTTTGAAGTATATTTTAACCAACTCAAGTTTTGCAACGAATCTAAGTATGTCACTTTTATAATTCCAATGGCATGAAAAAATATTTAAAATGTATCATTTGTTGAGAAAGAATGAACTATCCATGACTATCGAAAAAACTCGTAATTTTAAATAAAAAATCTTTCAAAAAAAATGAAAACACATATATTCTTACTCAGCCCGACGAGCTCTATCTAACTATGTATAAAGAAATGAAAAAATTTTGCTTTGCACCTTATTATCGTTCTACTCTTGAAGACAAATGGCAGCGAACACAATGGGAACTCTTGTTATGGTTGAAAGCTATAATGAAAATTCTGATCCCCAGTTGGCAGCAATTGAGTCAACAATTCCCTACATTCGTGAGGCAATCAACGTGCTTGATATTCAACAGCCTTCTTCTCCTTTCATTATTGCCGATTTTGGTTCATCTCATGGGCGCAATTCAATGCATGTTATGAAGTTTATTATTCAATATCTGAAAGAGACCAACAAAGTAGAAGATGAAAAACAAATTCTCGTTGTTCATAATGATCAACCCACTAATGATTGGACACAACTTTTTAATCTTCTTAATAAAGACAACTCCTATCATAGTGTCGCTAATGGTCGATCTTTCTATGAATCATGTCTACCTCCAAATTCTCTCTCGATCGGTTATTCGTCCACTTCGCTTCATTGGCTTTCACGTAAACCATGCAATATATCAAATCACTGCGCATCTCTATTTGCACAAGGTGACGAACTCAAAGCGTTTCAGGAACAAGCTCGTCTCGATTGGACTCATTTTCTTGAACATCGATCACATGAATTGATTCCCGGTGGTGTACTTATTTTTCTCATTCCTTGTGTGGACGATCGAGGATTGAGCGGCATCGATATTTTCAGAGAACTTCTCTATAAATGTGCTAAATCATTGCTTACTTCACAAGAATTACTTGATTATACATTTCCGATATATCATCGTTCATATTTAGAATGCATCGATGATCAACTTTTTGCTCGTTGTTCTTTTCAATTGATTAAATCTGATATTGGTTCAGTTAAACTACCTTTTATCGAGCGATGGCAAAACAAACAAATGACAGTGGATGAATTTGCTCGATCAATAACATTATATATTCGTGGTTGGTCTGAATCGACTCTTAAACAGGTACTATTAATAAATAATCGATCAAAACAAGATATCGAACAAATACTCAATCGATTTTGGTCTTTATTCGATCATGAAGCAAGAAAAGAATTTTATCATTTATTAGACATTTCCATAAATCTTACCTATTTGATTTTGAAAAAAATGAAGGGAAACATTGAGTAAACGTGAAAGTATACAAGCAAAGTGTTCTTACTCATCTGTAATTGTATCTAGAACTGTTCACTAAATAATGTGTCAGGTTCAATAAAAGTATTTCGAAATGAATTTATAAAAAGAAAGCAGAGTGATCCAAATTCCACAACATAAGAAGAATTGAACTGAAAAAGATCACTGCAATAGTCACAGTTATATAAATCACCCATATTGGTGATGTGGGATCTACTGATGGACTTATTGTATTTGAGGGTGTAGGTCTGGAAGTTTGTCTCCTGTTCTCACCCACACTCTTCTTTAAGAAAACAGCGATTAACAAAGTGTTAATTAGACTTCTCTACATCTATCTAAATTTAGCTGTCTTATCAATTCATTGAAATTTTGCATTAAAACAATCTTACATGTGTGTAACCAACTGTTATAACAATGAGATGATAGGATAACGACGCAATCGAATAAAGTGTTAGTATTATTCTCGATATTCAAGGAGTGACGTGCATATGCATGAAGTCATCTTTTCTGCCGGTAGCAATATGACTTATGACTCGGAAAAGTATTCTCTTTATCGCCACTCATTCAGCATGACACATCAGTTTCTCTTGTGTTTACTACAAAATTCCATGTGATAAAATATTAAGATGGAACAGATTGTTTTGCGTGTCAAGCTCATTGTCGGCAACATATTTTTACTTTTTTCTCCATTTACACGTAGCGAGCAATCGCATCGTTTTAGTATTTAATTCTTAATTGAAAATCAAAACAGTACGTAGACAAGACTGCTGAACAGAGAAACTTTCAAATTTCGCCATTCAAGCAATGATACATGGCATCATGTATTCTCAAACGGCTTTGCATAATATGTAACAAAAGCGGAGAAATTGCCACATGTATGGAACGTCAACAATGGTTTTGTGCAGAGCACTTCAATGAACATCGACTAGAATTTGCCACAGAAAATAGATAATATCGAACAACAACATGATCTACTTCAGCCAAATTTAATCCAAAAAAATGCAGCACATCCTCTTCTACCTGTAATAATCACACAAAACTTTGTATGGGTTGAAGAAGTCGAAAAGTTGTTGGTCCTTCTCGATTTGCTCAAAACTTAGATTGATAAGGCCGAAAGACAATGAGATTAAAAAAGGTTCTGTGTTTCTTCTTGATAAAATTGAGATTCCGATGCATTTACATTAGTACTTGTCGAGAATAAATTTACTGTACATATGCTTCATGAATTTCTTGAATATCATCAGCATGCTGTGACCAGTATTCACGGTTTATCGCTGCGCGAGGTGTTAACATTCCATAAGTGTTTAGTGAGCGGAAAACTTCTTGTCTATCTATCCATCGGTTCTAGAAATGTTAAACATGTTATCAACTTCGATTTTCCGTGGGATATAGGCGTATACATCGAGTGCATCGGGTGGACAGGTAGTGCACCCATGAATGGTAAGAGAAACTTCGTTTAGAAATGACATTAATCTTTTTGTGTGCCAAGGTCAAGTAACATCATTTTTTACTGACGAAATTCGGAGTCTTGTCGCCGATCTATTCGACTTTCTAACAGAATCACACCAAGAAGTACCTGAATGGCTCGAAACTTTGGTATGCGAAACCAAAAAATAGAACTATCACAGACGAGTGTACCGGTGTGAGTGCCGGTGTGGCTATGGTGTGACTTCCTCTTGAATAGGCACCAACACTCACGCTCACACTCCCACCCTCATTCATACCCACACCCAATCTGTAACTTAGTCTGTCAAAATAAATAAAACGAATGGATTAGCGTAAAAAAGAATGCGTTAAGTCCCACAATGCTTACAATGAATAATAATAACTCTTCCACTCAACTGAACAGTTGGCTTTTCATAGCAATTATTCTTAGACATTCGTAAACATTATGGTGGAATATTTGAATCTACAATCAAGTGTGTTAGGCAAATTAGGTGAAAAAGAAACTTGATGAATAAAAGAAAATGAAAAGGTCAATTTTTATTTAGAAATCTAATTTTCTTTGTATGCCAATAAAACTTCTAGTCACAGAGAGGCATTGAATAAAGTCTGATCTTATTTGATTCCTTAGAGGGAGCGCAGTCACAGTGCACAATCCACTGCTTGTGTTGTAGCCAAAATGGTGTTTGAAATGGTTCAATTATTGTTTCGATTAGAGGCAAATTCTCATCACAAAAATTTGTTTCGAATAAAAATTCGAATTTATCTAAAAGATGAAGATTCTTTTTAATAAATTCTTCCCATACGGAGCCATTGGATAGTGATTTGAAAGTTAAATTACTATTTTCGTCGAATGTACTGACTATTATTTTTAAATGGACTAATGATGGTATGTGTTCAAGAATTAATTTGATGTTCTCAATTGAAATGGAACTTTTGATTTGAATGCTCAGCGATGATAAGTGTGAATGTCGTACTAATTCGTTCTTATCGATGTCCATCATAATCAAACAGGCTGTTTCAAATGTTCGTAAATGAGAGAAATGTTGAAGAATACTGAATAATTCTGTACTTGTACATAGGCGCAGTGCGATATGTCGTACAAAAGATTCAACAGACCATGCTATTGTACCTCTTTTGTTACTCAGTACCTTTGATTCGAATTTGCGAAGTGTCGGCAGTGCCAGAACTAACGGAAGCAAGCTCAAATTTGGCTTCGAGTAATGACCATATGGATCTATTGATAAAGAATTGAGCGAGCAATTGAGGATGTGACCTAAAAATTCGTATAAATGCACATTTTGAATGTTTATAAGAGTCAATGAACGAAGGCGAGTAAATTGATCAATGTTGAGGAGTGACAAAAATAAGCCAATTGCATTCGGTGTCGTGTCGCAACCGTCAAGTGTGAGTGAAATGACACTTTCTGGCTCAATGAGACGACAGATAAGATGAAAGTCGGACTCTATGATGGATCTAAAGTCGAATGTATATCGATCATATGTATTAGCAATAGTAGCGAGTTGTTTGCATACATTGCGAACTGAAAGAATTATTGTTTGACCATCGATATAGTCAAAAATACGGTAGATAATCTCAACCGGTAAACTGAGTAATTGCTTGGAATCTACGATAGACATATTTTGAAATGATGTTAACTTTCTGTACTGTTTAAAAAAAGTCTGTCATCGTGATTGTGCAATTTAAAGTTGACTAAAAAGTAATTCAAAGTATGGTAGAAGATGGAAGACGTCTAACGAATCAGATCTTTTTTGGCATGATCAGTTGATTACAATGCATGATCTGAAGGTATTGTCAGTGAGCAAATATTTTGAATAATAACTCAAGCAAAATTTAATGATTTTCGTTTGTTAATGGAAAAGCTCATGTTGAAACGATTCTTAAAAATAGATCAAACACATGAGAGGAAGAAATGTGACTCACCTCACATAGAAATAGCGAACCAATCAAACTGTGATTCTTAATTTACCATTATTCAACTACGTTTTTCTTATTCATATTCCTTGACAAGCAATATAGAGGAATGATATTTAAGACATACATCTAAACATTTCATGCAGAATTCAACAAAAAAAAGAAAAAAATTCGATCTCTATCAAAAATTGCGTACAAGAACATGAGTGTTCTCAATCTAAGACTGATTGCACCACTCGTTGGAGATAATGACTACTTTTTTTTCGACTCTCCCAAATTAATATTGTATTTGATCATAGTTCGCCATTTTGACCGTATCAAATTGTAAGTTGACATTATTTTGAAAATGTTTTGAAATGTAATCATAATGCTGTTACGGCCTTATTCATTTCAATCCTTTTTTTACAGTTACTAGTGCTGTCAATGAGATTATTTTTTGACATATTTAATAATTTCGACTTCAAATATCTCGAAGAAGTTTTACAAGAACAACAGTGAATATTGAATAGAAACAGTACAAATACAAGTACTACTAAATTTTAGTTTTGCTGCTGAATCAATATGCATGGTAAACGAAAAAAGTATCATCAATATTTAAGAGAAGAAAAAAAGGTTATCGGGATATTTGAAAAAAGAAAAAGAACAGAAAACGATTAAATTTTTTGTTGGAATGACTTAATAAATATAGGAAAAGAGAAAAAGAACAAGGTCTTTGATTAATCAGACCATTCATCATCACTTGGATCACTATCAGGTTGAGCTTCTGGTTTAACTAAAAACAAATTAATTCATTTATAGGGGTGTGGGTGTGGGTGTGAAAGTTGGGTGTGGGTGGGTGTAGTGTCAATGTTCTCTTGAATTACAACCACAGCCCATCCTACACAGAACCAGACTCATATACTCACGCCCGCTGGTACAACTATTGATTCCTCACGGAGGGTGTGGGTGTTTGGTGGTGGCTGTGATTCAAGAGAAGATCGACCCTACATCCATACCGACACACCACCACACCCACACCTACATCCACCTCACTCATACCCACACCTACATTTTCTATATGCTCAACGATGGAATCAACAAGTAACATGTTGGCTACAAGAAGCAACACGAGGCACCATTAGTGTGGGTGGAAATGGTTTCGGAGGCGAAGCAAATCAGTTCAAAGGTTCCGTTGACCTGTCCTTCGATAAACATGGTCATTTCTATGTCGTCGACAGTGGCAATCATCAAGTGCAACGATTTTATCTTCAATAATAAAATTCTTATTTTTTTTCAATTTCATTTGTATTCACTCGCACGAGAAGACATGAAGC